TTTTAATATTGTTTTACGTCTGGAAAACAGTATACTTTGCTGGAAATAGGTATTTACAAGAATAGCATTTAAGATCTGCTAATAACAGGTAAATGTTATTTATCTTCATTTGCTTTTTCATATCTAATTAGGAACTAAACGTTTGTCTTCTAATATTTTAGCTTTTGAGTCGAACGCTTATTTTGAAGTAAACACCACTGCGGGGAGTGATACGTCACTGCTCTTACCTACTCTGATTGGCTACTGGTAATGAAGACGTCATTTCCCCCTGTCAGCTCGAACACTTCCAGGAGGAGAAGGAAGAAAACAAGAGGACGCAGAAACAACAAAAACACCCTGAAACGTTCACTTTAACTTAACCCTTTTTAACAACCAAGACCTAACGAAGTTACTATGGTAAGCAATGAGTTGCTACTGCTCTCCGTGGCGCTGAATATGTACAAAAAGTTGTAATTTTAGCAGTTGGGCTAACTAGCGGCTAACAACAACACTGGCGCAGAGCAGAAAGATGCTCCATCATCATGAAGTTAAAGTCATTCCCCGATGTGAAACACCGAAAATTGTTTTATTTGTAAGTTAACAGATCGTGTTTGAACTCCACAGTTTTCCTTCCATCATGTGTTCGACCACCCGATGGCCCGGGGCTTTCCGAACCGCTTCTCCACTCAGTACCGCTGCTACTCGGTGTCCATGCTGGCTGGACCCAACGACCGCTCCGATGTGGAGAAAGGAGGCAAAAGTGAGTGTCACCAGAGAAGGATTTAAAAAGTGCATCATCACTGTTATCAACGTGTGCTATTTCACACATAATTAGCAGAAATACAGTGTATCATATAAGTTAGTTAGCGGTTCAAACTCATATTTTTATTGCATCAAAGTTCTTTACAGAAAAGAAAGACACGAATAGCGACAAGTATATTTCAGTTTTAATGCTTCATAATCTGAGCTAGCTCCACATATGATCTGTGCTTAGATTTACGAAACAAATTTAGAATCTGTTTTCTGCGTTAATGACACTGAAGGGTCACAGTGGTTCATTAGTTATTTAAATAACTGTTTTGCAGATTACAGTATGTAATCCACAATTACATATTGTAATCTACAAATCAGTAGATTACTGTTTACTTTAATGGGTCCTGAAATCCTAATAATACTGTACCATAATTAGGGTTTGGAAGAGGTTTGGGATTAGATTAGCGGTCACATTAAATATATGCAATTTTAAAGTTGAGTTAAATATTACATATTTATTTTCTACTTTGTCTTTTTCTAAATTACTTTTATATTATGGATTCAACATCAAGATTATATTTACAAACTAAAAAAAATTCTCAAATCCTAATCCAAATCAGAATTTTTTTTTCATACGGTCATATTTTTTTAATATTATTTAAAGAGAGTCTTTTTTATGTGTGTGTGTGTGTGTGTGTGTGCAAACAATTACAATCTATCTCTTTTTTCCTTTAGTAATTATGCCTCCTTCTGCGCTTGATCAGCTCAGTAAGTCCAAGTCAAGCCAAACACTTCTTGTTTTCCTCCATTTTGTTTCATGATCCTCCATGTTTCTCATTTTTCTGATGTTTTTATGTGAACAGGCAGGCTTAACATCACCTATCCAATGCTGTTCAAACTCACCAACAAGAACTCAGACAGGATGACCCACTGTGGAGTTCTGGAGTTTGTGGCAGATGAAGGAATCTGTTACCTTCCACACTGGGTGAGGAGGAAATCAAATAGCACACTGAGTGGTCTACTCTGTTGTGTTTTACCATATTGTTTCTTTTGTGGGAATGTGCATTTTTTGTGCTAGTTCATGAATGAATATTTGTTCTGTGTAAGTAAAAGCAACTTGTAGCAAGTACAACAGTAAATCAAAGGTTCCTAGAAATATTCATTTAGTCCCAGATCGTAGATTCTTTTTTTTTTATTGTTTGAACTTCTAACAACAAAACAACAACAACAACAAAACTGTAAATATACTGTTAACTACTTTAAAGTGGTTAACAGTACTTTAAATATGTATCCGACATCTAAATATGTCTGTCTTTCATTGCAGATGATGCAGAATCTTCTCCTGGAAGAAGGCGGTCTAGTTCAAGTGGAAAGCGTCAACCTTATGGTGGCCACATATTCAAAGTTTCAGCCACAGAGCCCTGACTTCCTAGATATAACAAACCCCAAAGCAGTGTAGGAAGTCTGTCCACTCTGTCCATTCATTTTTCTTTTTTAGCTGAGCAGTTTATAAAAGTCATCCTTATATTTGCAGTCTGGAGAACGCTCTGAGAAACTTTGCGTGCTTGACGACTGGTGATGTCATAGCCATAAACTACAATGAAAAGGTAAAAATGTTTATTACAAAATAATAGATATTACTTTCCATTATTGAGTTGCATATCATGCGTTTAAAACTGTTTGCTTCAGATCTACGAGCTGCGGGTTATGGAAACCAAACCCGACAAAGCAGTGTCCATCATCGAGTGTGACATGAATGTAAGACTCTTATCATTATCTCAGGCAGTAGATAAATAATATTATTACATTCAGTGTTTCACTCATGTCACCATTGTGCACCTCAGGTGGATTTTGATGCTCCTTTGGGCTACAAAGAGCCTGAGCGACGGACTCAGAACCACGATGAACCGACAGTAAGACCCAGAAAGTGTCTGAACGTTTTATGTTCTGAGCAAAGAGATAAAACTTGTTTCTTGGCAGGAGGAAGAAGGAGACGCCAGTAGTTATGCTGACATGGACACAGGATTCAGAGTGAGATCCTACTGCTGTTAGACTGAGACAAACAAAATGTCAGTGAAGGTGTTGAAACTATGTGAGTCATCGTTTGATGTCTTGCCAGGCTTTCACTGGGTCTGGAAATCGCCTAGATGGGAAAACAAAGGGGATTGAACCCAGTCCTGCTCCTCTAACTGCGAGCGACATCAAAAGGTGAATACATGCACACATTAATAAACAAATCCACAGCATTATGGCGTTTCTGCTCACTGTAAAATATTTTCAAAGAGGTTGAGAAAAGACCTAAGTAACACATATTTCAGACACCCAAAAACTTTTGTTGCACAAAACTAGTTTTGTCAATCTCACTGACAGAAGAAAAGCATCCAGAAAGTCAAGTTTACACTGCAAAAACACAAAATCTTACCAAGTAATTTTGGGCTAGTTTATAGAGCAAATATCATAGCCTCTTAGCACACTTGAAATAAGACTAACTTTAATGTAACTTTTCAGCAAGATATAGGAGCTTGTTTTAAGCAAATAATTCCTTTATATTGATGAAAAAGTACTAGCTCTGTTGGCAGATAAATTAACTTATAACATGGGAAAAAGTCTTGTTATAAGTGAAATATTCTTCCAATGGAACAAGTACTTTTTTGTCAATATTGTGAAATTATTTACTTAAAAGAAGCTCTGAATCTTGCTAAAAACTTACTTTTGTGTTAGTTTTGTCTTATTTCAAGTATCCAAATATATTTGCACTAGAAACTAGACCAAAAACACTTGGTAAGATTTTTGTTTTTGCAGTGTAAGTGTTTACACTTAATCTTGAAAAGTATGAGAGTAAATTCCAGATTTGGATACATATGATTTAATAAAATAGAGCGCAGAAAAACATCTGAGTTTTCAAATTAATTTCTTTTTTTCCATAAAGGTTTTTTTTTTTTTAAATGGCAGAAACAAGGACATTTCACCCTGTTACCCTTCTCAGACACATCAGTCTCAACAATGCAAGGTTTAGTGTTACATCGATACATTGGGCCAAACTGTAGCACAGATGGATGCACTTAGACCTTTGTTTTGGACAGTTTACTGTTTATAAATCTCAGAAACTCTACTATGCAGTTTGGAAATCACTGAAAGCCTAACATACAATGTTTTATCACAGAGGTATTCCAAACTATGACTTTAAAGTCGGCCGGATCACCTTCATCAGAAACTCCAGGCCTCAGCCCAGGAGAAACATAGAAGACGTGAGTAAATACGTTTTATAAAGTGCTTAATTACTTAACCCACAGAGTTTTTTTAGTGTTATACAGTGAACATAGAGGTTTAATTCAGCAGAATAAGGCATTGAAGTGGTTTTGGTTTCATTAACACTCTCTAAATATATGTTTTCCTTCTCCCAGGATGACGCCATGAACAGATTTATTGCCTTTTCTGGACAAGGACAGTCACTGCGGAAGAAGGGCAGAAAGCCTTGAATTACTTGAAATGTATATTCGGCTTATGTGACCCCATCAACAGCAAACTTAAAAAAAACAACAAAAAAAAACACTGATCTGAAGAAACACTCGCCTCTTTGTCTGTTATGTCAGAACTCAATCATATTGAACTCTGATGGTAAGACTTTTGCTCAAACATGCTGCATTGGTTCTCAGTTATAATCTGTCATTTAATTGAACAAGCCTCAATAGATATCAACATAATAAATAGCTTCAGGATTATTACTGGAATTATGAGTTATTTTCTTTCTGTCCACCATTTCCCAGAATTATTTTTTGACCAAATATTGCACCTGAAATATACAGTTTCCAGGATCCCCATTGTAGTTTAAACAATGGGACCAATAACTTTATCTTAAATTTTCGTAAGAACTATTTTATGTTTGAATTCTTTTGTTTTTTTTTCCCCTCAGTTATAGTTTGCTGACATTCTTTCCTGGTTTATTTATAGGCAAATAAAGGATTACTTTGACATTGTCTGCAGTTGTTTTTGTTGTCAGTTATGTATGAATAAAATAATGTGGCCACTTTACCTCAATTACGCACATTTATTAAAAGATATCTGGTTTGAAGTTATGATGGAGTGTAACTTTGTGGATAAAATCTCATGTGTAAAAGACAGATTGGAAAACATGAGTATATAAAAAATAAAACAGCAAAACTGGTTCAAATTTGGGTTATTTAATGTAGCCCATACATTATTCCAAAACTTAAAACTTAAGTTGATCCAGCGTCTGGAAGAGTTGGCTATTTTCAAAGTTAAAAGCTGCGAACACTGCGGTGGTGCTTTTGTTTTGAAAAGCATGTTACCGGAAACACTTCTAATATTAACCGCTAACTATGGAGCAGCTTGCAGAAAGAGCGTGGAGGGTAAATTTTCCTTAAAACGTGTTCATAATCGTGCTATTCATAACGTATTTTAGTCTAATTTGTTTAGTCATCGGTTTTGCTGATTGGTTTATCTGAGGCTTAACCTTGGTGAATAAATTAGCAAGGTGATTAGCTTTCGATGCTAAGTAAATTCTCCGTAACCCTGACCGCTAGTAACCGTGTGGAATATCAATAATAGTCGAGATACGTTTTATAATATACATCTATTAAGAAGCCTATCTTGGTTTGATTCAATGTTGAATTTCTTTTTTAAAAATTAGACGTTTGATGGTTTCTAAAAAGAAAAAAAAAACTACCGTGCAGCTCCAATGACGATCACAACCGGGTGCTGTTTCCCTGTTTTAATTTGAATGCGTTCAGGAAATAAATGGCCAATCCAAATTTGAAAGCTGTAGTGGTATATTGTTTGTGTACAAGATCAATTTTTTGGACACAGTAAAAAATAAATTACAGGTCTTAACGTTGTTCTTGTCTACAGTAATGGGAAATGCCAATAAAATAAATACAAATATCAGCACATTCATAATAAAAATAAGTTCACTATGTTTCAATAATTTGTGGAACCCCCTTTAGGAGTAATGATATGAATTAGTCATTAAAGACAGATCAATCCCATCAGATCGGATTCGGATCCAGAGTAATCTGTACTTGGGCTGTGGTCTTGCAATACTTCAGCCTTTTAATGTTAATTTTTGTCTTTCTATTGTAGATTTGCAGATGTTTCTGGGTTTATTGTCCTGTTGCATGACCTGACTTTGGCCAGTTTGAACACGTTGAACTGTTGAACAGATGGCATCAAAACTAACTCCACAATAGTTAAATAAACAAGAGTTTATGGTTGCCCCAGGGCATCATCCTTCCCCCACCATGCTTGGTATGAGGAAAATGTGCTTAAATCACCAAACCTCTTTGTCTCACCTGTCCAAAATGCAGCGCTACAGAGGTTTTGATTCCTTTAACTTGTCTAAAACATGGTGACATGCATGCTCAAGAAAAGAGAACATCATTTAACACACAAGCTAAGAAATCTGAAAAGGAGATTTATTTTTTCAATTTTCTGTGGATTTGAGCTCATCCGTATTATTCTTACTTTCCTCTCCTCTTTGGCGCTCCTTGTTAAACACACAACCACTAGAACAAGCCAAGCTAACTACTTTATTTGTACCTGTGTTCCTGCAGCCACATCAAGCCTGCGAAGATTACTTGAGTGAGTTCAGGCACTGCAGAAGTTTCAGGAATCATTTTCACCATTACTACACCTACGGCACCGCCCCGTCCTGCCAGCAGTGGAAAGAGGACTACCATAACTGCAGAAAATGGGAAAGTCACAAACTCGCAGAAGCTAAGGTGCAACTCCAGGAAATCGTATTCTGAAAAGGATGTAAATTTGTGCTTTTCTAGTTTCATAAAGATGTACCTTTGTTTTTTATGTTGTAGGACGCATTGCAGAAAAGTGAAAGGAGACGATTGGAAGAGCAGAAAAACTTCACCCCAGTGTGGAAACTGAGGCAGGCGCCTCCTGGTGACTGGCACAGGCCTCTGGACTAGGACACCCAGCAAGACTCCTGATCTGAAGAGCCATCTGCTGCTGCTCTATGAACCAATGCAATATGATGTAGTTCACTTCATGGACAATCCACTGAAACCGGCTGTTTCTAAACTGATTCATAAACTGTTAAAGAATTAATCTTTGGACTCAAAGGAGGGACTAATTGAAATGTAACTTCATGTAGTACCCATAATTGAAAAACATATTTAAATTGCAAGAGCTTTGCTGTGTGTTGTTTAAGAGTAAACTTTAAAGCTTTACTTGAATTAAAATGTGCAAAATGAAATCAGTTTAGTGTTCAATGCTTCTATAATGTAAGTTTTGTTATCGATGTTAAGCTACTGCTAATTATGTTTCCTGCTTTATTCCAGGAAGGAGTCCAAGAAAAATATATTTTAAAATAAATACCCATAAACTTTAAACAAACTTCACCCAAAACTAAAGCTGGATCAGAGGTCATCATAGTAGAGATGCATATTTTGAAAGGTCATTTACACTCCAAACTAGCTGTGCTGTGTGTTGTAGCATCACTGCTTTTCCCTCATTACATAAAGATTCAACACATATCAGTGTTCTTATTGAAAAAAAATAATCAGTGCTTTGATTAAACAAAGAAGCTTTTATTTTCAACATTGTTGTAGAGGTTTGAATAAAAAAACAACTCATGAATAATTATGATGAGCAAGAATGCCTTCTAGTCAAATCGGCAAAGAAACAATGTGATAAGTTTCCATCAAGCCAGATTTTACAGACAGATAAACGCAGCATCACATCCCAATCAATTCTGTTCACACAGTAAAAAAAGAAAGAAGCGCCGCTCACAGACTTTCATTGTGTGTACACTTTAGTAACATCATTATACTTCCCATCCGGAGCGTCATAATTGGGGATTGGAGGCGTGTAAGCAGGGCCTTCATGAGTGAAAGGAAGCAGAAGCGGATCTGGCTTCAGCGCTGCCCGGTAAAGCTCCTCAGACTCCATTTTCAGCTCCTCTAGCGCCTCCCTCTGGGCCTCCAGAGCAAGTTCAATGGCCTCTACTTCAGCCATGTGCTGCTTCTGAAAAAACAGAGACAAATGTATATCTCTAACACTATATGACGGAAACGAGAGGCAAAAACAGACACTTGAAAGTCAAAAGTAATCTTCATTTTAGAGGTTTAGGAATAAAATAGTGAAAGATGAATAACCTGTTTGTATCGACTCCACTCTTTCAGAAGAAGCGCGCGACTCTCACTTTCTTCAAATGACAGCGTTGGAGGAATGCGCTCTCTTTTTTATAAAATAAAGAAAAAAACAATTTAAAAAACTTAAAAAGGGGCTGGCAGGAAGAAAACAAGAAATGTTTCATTTTTGTGGAGCTTTGAACTGAGCTGTACCTCGTTTCATCCAAACATTTAGTGGGAGTGATGAAGTCCTCTATGGGGATGAGCTCAGGCGGAACCCTCTCCAGCTTCTTCAGCTTCTTCTTCAGTCTCTCCCTCATCATCAGCTCCCTCCGCGGATCCACCTTCTTCTTCTTCTTTGGCTCCGCTCTAATGTAACATAAACCACACCGATGCATGAGCATTCTTATTTCACCACATGTGCATGTTTAAATAGCAGAAAATTATGTTTTATTATTCTCTAGTATTTTACTGTTGAACAGGTGAAATGTCTGGATTTTAAGGCATCTAACTGAGAAGAACTTGTTCCATGATTACAAATCACATGATGGATTTAAACAAATTTTGCCCTCTTGTTTTTTCATTCAATGAAACAAGGATGCTGCTGTACAACTAATGTCTACTTTACATCTTGAAATTTGGGCAAAAAGGTATGACAAATAAATGTACTCTGGATCTTTATGGTATTAGATTTTTTCTGATTTGATTACATAGTTTCCACGTAGTTTGAAACAATACTGTTTGTGTTTATACAACATATTCTAAGGCTATCATAGCTTTGTAGACACACTTCAAGTCCCTTCAATGCCATTTATTTTGACATACAATTTATTTTAATAGTTCTGCTAACGAACCTAGAACTACAGATACAGTTTGCATTGCAAAAGGACAAAATCTTACCAAATATTCTTAACAAACTTGACATAAGACAAAATTAACTTACAAGTAATATTTCAGCAATATATAGGAGCTTGTTTTAAGTAACTAATTCCTTTAAAAAAACTAATTCCTTTTCACTTATAGCAAACATGTATTTCTATAAGTTAAATAATCTGCCAGTGGAACTAGTACTTTTTAAAATTAGTATTAAAGATTTACTTACTTAAACGGAGCTCATATATCTTGCTGAAAAGTTACTTAGAAGTTAATTTTGTCTTGTTCCAATGGTATAGAGATATTTGCACTACAAACTAGACAAAAACACTTAAGACTGTTTGTTTGTTGTTGTTGTTGTTTTTGCAGCACAGCGAAAAGAAAAATCAAATTTATTTTTAACAAGTTAAATAAAGAAATGAAACATTTACATTGTTCACATGGAGAGTGATATATTTCAGACAATTTAATGAATCTAGCTTAGATCAAGTGATCTAAGCTAGATTCATTTTTCTTTTTTAAATCAACTAGTGGTAACTGTATCATACCTGAGTGGTGCAGATGTCTTAAGTGTGGCCACAGGAAAAAAACAGGGACTCTGCAGAGCAGGGTTACATTCTCCCAAAAGCAAGCTGAAAAATTACACAAGACAACCACAGCACATATGAAAGCACGACATAACCAACCTATGGCAGCATATTTTCAGTACTGGTTCACTTTCATTCCTCTTTATTTATTGATTCGGACACACACGGATCACATCATTCTTCTTCTACAAACGCTTACCGTGACGCGGCGGCCTGTCGGGATAAAACCCCGCCGATGAATCGTGAAACGACCGAAGACATGTTTCCACTGGATGCCGCTTCAATTTACACTGCCGATATCAAAAAGAACCATAAACAAAATCTTCACATGTCGCCTCACTTGTGTCCCCTTACAGAACACAGCAGGGACAAGGCGCAGAGAGATGACGTATTAAGCAAAGTGGGTTTACTATTTTACTTCCGCATTTTCGAACATTTTTAAATAGCATAAAATGCATAAAATGTATGAATTAGAAGATATTTTTAGGTTTAATTACAATAATTAAGTTATATAGTTATTTTTAGTTATCAATACAATTTTTTTGTAAAATTTAGAAGTAAATCTTCTGTCGAATCTAGCAGTGGGGGTAAAACATGAAGCGACGGCATTATTTGGGGTAAAGGTCGCAGTGGACGCTTCTTTATATACCCACAGTGGGCAGTTCAAGAGACAGAGACTGAAATCCAGCTTAAAAGGTTAAACTATCAAACTGATTATTGTTGAACCAACACCATGGCGCTCATCAGAGGTAAACTGATATTTCTGTTTAGCATTTAGACTAAAATAAAACGGACGTAGGTTCGTTTGTGCTTCATGTTGCTCTGTTTTAAATGTCGCATTTTCCTGCTTTTTGTGCACTAGAGCATTTAATTAGTGACATTATGAAAATGGAGCTTTGTAAAGTAGAGCTTTTTATGTCAATGTTTACATGCAAGTGCAGCTGAAAACCTTGCATGAACTCCACGTCATTTAAAGTAGGTTAAAGGTGAGTGGTATCATGGGGCTTTCTTTATTATGACAATATTTACTAGTTTTATATTTTTTAAAGAGAAGCTTTATAACCTTAGTCAACATAACATTTCGAGAAACTTAGTTTGTTTATGCTTAGGCTAGTGGAAATTATGCGTACTTGTAGTTTGAGCTACTTCTTTATCTCCCTTCTTTGATTGAAAGGTAGATTAGTTTTTGTCTTTTGATTTTACTATACAACAATAATATACAAAAGGGGAAAATAGATCTGTGTAGCTAGTTACATTTTTTTAAATTATATCAACTTTTTGGAAGAAGAAAATCTACTTTTAGTATTCTCACCAAATTTTGAGCTACTGTGTCTTTTTAATTAACTTCTCAAAACAGTACAAGGTGTATAAATAGAGGAATGATACTACAATCAGCGATGCATTATTTAAAATATATATATAAATATTCATATAGAATACGTGGAGTGAAAGCAGCTCTTGCAAGCTGGGGTTTTTCTATTAACTTTTAATAGAAGTGAAGCTCAAATCCTTAGATGAATTCAGGATCATTGTAATCTAACTTAAAGGTTACAAGATGAGTTTAGTTTATTAATAACCATGTTAATCTTATGGCTATATTTGCTAATATGGGTTTTTATAAAGTACTGTTTTTATAATCCCAGTCAAAAAAAAACATTGTCAGTGATTCAGGTCACTTATGAATGACAATAATTTCTTATTCTTACGCTACTTCAAATAATATTAGATTTAGTTCTGGCATTTTTAATAAAACATATTGAACTATGTAGAATGTCTAAATAAATAATGGACTTGTCTTGCTTTGGGCTTTTAGGCTATTTTTAGACAGATTGTTCTACATTACGAAACGACAAACAAACGTCACAGATGAGTCGCTCGTCATATTAATGTTTATCAAAGGAAATAGAGTGCCCAGTCCAGGTCAAGGCATCATGTGTTTGATGCCACGTATTACACGTCTGTGTTTGTTCACAGTGGTTCATGAGCTAGAAACGGAAAAATACTCATCTTCATTATAAGTGAATTTTGCTGTTATTCATGAAACAAATATAACATAATTTAAAGTCTTAATTACATAGTAAGACTAAATGAGGAAAATGCATGGTGGATGGGGAACTTTATAAGTTACACCAGAATTATATCTGTTTGTTTGTTTTTATTTTAGATTGTAAATTGGTTCATGCTAAGATAATTTTGAGCTGATATTTATGCTAAACATAATTCCAAAATACATTCCAATAAAACCAGAATGTCAGGGAGTTATTTTGTCTTGTTAAACAAAACCAATATTTAGGTAGATAAATGAAGCGCCAGCCATCAACCTAATGTTAACATCAAGCATCGTTTTTGTGTTGACATCTGTGCTAAGGTTCTTCTTTTGTTATTTTCTAGGCGTTTTCATCGTAGCAGCCAAGCGCACGCCGTTCGGTACGTACGGCGGAGTGCTGAAGGATCACAGCGCCACAGATCTGGCGGAGCACGCCGCCAAAGCGGCCCTCGCTGCCGGCGCCGTCGCTCCAGAACTCATAAATAGCATCATCATGGGAAATGTCATGCAGGTAAGTCGGCTGCCGCTCATGAGGGATTTGTGTTCTCATAACGTAACGTTGTGTGTTTCCTCAGAGTTCGGCTGATGCTCCGTATATCGCTCGTCACGTCGGCCT